CGGGCGGTGTCTCCCCCAAACCTGCCGAGCTGGGGGGCTGTCCTCTCCTCCTATATAGGGTGCTTCTCGGTTTGCTCTTGGTTCTGTAAGCCTCTGGTGTCTCAACGGTGCCGAACCGGTGTGGGCTGTTTTTAATATCATTGCAGTGTTACTTCTTTAGTAAATATTTCTGTTTAATTTTATGTTGCTGAAGGCTGGATCAGCATTTGCGAGTTAATCTTCATGTATGGTATTCCATGGGTAGTTTGGAAGACTTCAGTATTTTGCTGGGAATACCTTTGAATTTAGAAGGGTCGTGTCTTAAGTTTGTTCTAGTTGCTTTCTCTAATTTCCACATTTATTTTCCCAGTATGGGTGGGATCACTCGGTTCACAAAAGGAAAAGACTTCCCCCAGTGAAAAGGTCTCTGGTGTACTACCTGAAAGGCAGAGAGGTCAGGATGCAGAATGAGTCCAGCTATCACCGTTTATTGCATGGATACGCAGCCCAGCAGCTTCCCAGCCTCCTGAAGGAGAGAGAATTTCACCTCGGAACACTTAATAAAGTGTTTGCCTCCCAGTGGCTGAACCACCGGCAAGTGGTGTGTGGGACAAAATGCAACACAGTAAGTGCCACCTCTCTGTTTCTCTTTCCTCCGTGAATTATTTCATCTCCACCCCCAAATGATGCTTACTGTAATCAAAGTATGTGGACTGCCCAGGAAAATATTAGGAAGTAATTAAGAGTGGAGTCAAATGGTGCACCATCAATTTTAGATGAAGGTGATGCTTAATGATGACCCGTTCTCATCTGAAAATACTGGGCCGTGCAGATGGCTGCAAACCTGAACATCAGGCCTGTGCCTGGTTGCAGCATCTGTCTAAACTGCAAAGAGCAATTTACATCTGTTTGCTCGATGGAGAGCAACAATGGGGTTGGATTTTTCTTCTTGTCCTGCAAATGCAAAGTTAATGAACAGTGCTAACTTTGCTAAATGTGCCTGGCAGAAGTTGCTAGTAAGATCTTTTTTTTCATTATGCTCAGTCTTATAGGGTTTGGTTTTATGTATGGTTATGTGCTGATGATTTTGAAAAGTTGGAACAAAATTAAAAACTGTGATTAAACTCCAGATAATGTTCCAAGCTTAAAAGATTAATTCCAGATCTTCAGGATTATCCTTTGCTTGTTCATTTTGTGAGTTTTTTTTCACTTTGAGTCTGTTTTCACTGTGCCTTTATATGCTTCAGAGAAAATTGAAACTTCTTCAGATTCTTAAAGTGATGCTTTGGATCTGAAACATTATAGAGGAATATTAAAGTTATGTCCTATTTGATTAGTAAATGGAGGAGAGCTTACTTAGGTTATATTCTCTCAGACAGAATTAGTAGCCCAACTGCATTCGCTAAGGTTGCAATTTCATATGTGAAGTTCTGATTGAATTAGTGCAAAATCACAAATTTGTTCTTTGCAAGGTGGTTAGTGCCACAGAAATAAGCTGAGCATTGTAAGGAATGTACAGATCAAGCAGCTCTTAAACCTTGAAGTATATCAGTTGGTGTGATTGTTTCTTTGCCTTAAAATTTTTTTGTGCAGAAGCTGCACTCAGTGGTTAGACTTGCAAGGGACAGTGGTATATTATTTTTCATTTCAGATGTTATTATTCAGTTACACAATGGGAGGCTTTCATGCTGTAGTTCTTAAGAAGCAAGGCTTAGCTGTATAAACAAAACAATCTTTTAACAGGAATAAGCCTGAGATAGAAGCTCTCTGCCTTCTTTCTCCATATGCATTCATTGCCTCAGCTGGTCAGCAGCCAGCACTGTTCGTGGAACAGCTTACAGAAGACAAACTCCTGACTGAAAAATCTTGCTTACACTAGCAAGATACTGCATGTTTTATAGAGCTGCAACAATTTTGCTGTGTTCTGTAGCTTCTGTAGTTCCAGCGCTGCTGCATCGAAGATAAATAGGCAAATGTGCAACTTGGCAGAAAATTGTTTGGGACCAAGCAATCACAGAACTGAAGGGGATTCAACTATACTGTTGTCCCCACTGTATACGCTGCAACAAAGTATATGCTTCCACAGCTAGTCTTAATGTTACAGATGAACCTCCTCTTTCATTAAGCAAAATATAATGATTACAAAAGAAGTCACTTTAGCGTTGTGAAAGATTGTATATGAATTATTTATACTGTAATAGTGTTAGCTTGGTTGCTTTGTGTTCACATTTGAACAAGTAGAGCGTTAAACTCTGCACTCTAATTATAAGATTTTTCTTTCTCATCTCCTGACTAAGCGACCTAGTAAAGAATAATTCCTTTGCCGATTCCCGTATGCTGAAGTTGTAGTGTTTAAGTAGGGAGTAAATCTGAAACACCTTTGTTGACTTTAATGGGGTTTGCTGCATTGGAGTTGCACGTAATTAAAGTTAATGCAACAGAAAAATATGAACCATAGCAGTTATTTTAATCAAAGCTTGAATGTGACACTGAGAGCTTCTAGAATTCAGTTTATAAATTGCCCTTGGCTATGCTGTGCTGGAAGGATTCACTGTTTTTAATAACAAAAAAAATACACTCCTGTCACAGAGGAGTTTTAGTCACTTGACAGTCACTGTAAACACTGAAGGGAATATGGAGCTCTGTCAGTTGCTCATTTTTAATGAGGATTATAACTTGTTTAATTATTTGGGGTAACTTTTGATCCTTAAAAATATCCCTGGGTATGGTTATATATATGAAATAACTTTATTGTTCTCACCAGTGGGTCCTGGTGCTTGCAGTTGGCCAGCTGTGAATCAAATATTTGAGTTTCTTAAAGGTGCATCCTTTTGCCGATAGATTTAGAATTATGCAACCTATGCAAGCATTCAAGTGTCTAAAAATTCAAACACAATTACCTGGGCTTTTCTGAGGTAGAATTCATGTTTGCAAGAATCTCATTGAACTTGTATGCAGTGGGCATCTTAATGTTTTTCAGATTCAGATGAATGAGCAGGCAAACCTCTGAGAGGTGCAGATGTTTAAGGTGTGTCGTCATGGCACCTAAATTACCAAAGGCTGATACTGAGAAGTCTCAGAAGAAGATACTGTCTGTAATCAATGTCTTCTGTTCAAGCTTCCTAGAGAAAGTTTGAGATTTGAGAACTTTGAGATTCCTTTGAGAGACTCTGAGACTCTCTCTATAGGAGACAAGGTTATGACGAACGAAAACACTGAACACAAGATTGATGAAGCTTTTTTTTTTTACTGTTTTCAGGGAACGATGAAGAATAAAGCAGCTTCTAAAATAAGTTCCAATAATAATTTTGCTGCTCCTTTGGTTCCCTTAGTTCTACATATGCATTCAGGACATGATTCTTCTGCTAATTGTGAAGTTAAGGATGAAAGAATACAATAGCTGTAAATCATTCCCTAAATACAAGAAGCTTATTAGTTTCCAGTTCCTTGAGAGCATAGTTGCCTCAAATCTAATATTTTTGTTTACTTTTTTTTTTTTTTGCCCTGCCTTAAGCAGGCCTGGTAGGTATATTTGTGTTTAAAAACATTCCTTACTGAATGCTCTCTTCTGGTTTCTCAGGTGGCTTTTCCAAGGCGTGAATGGGTTGCTTTGCTGAAAAGCTGATACCTTTTCTCTCTTTGGTAGAGTCATGTGTTGCCTTGGATGCCCTGCTGTAAATCACCATCTCTTTTTTCTTCTTAGAGACTTTAAATTTGTTCAAGAGATGCAATGTCTGTTCTGTGCATCTCATACAATTTGTAGTCCTGGGGTTGTAGTGGTGAGAATACAACACAGTTACTCTTCCATCCATGAGAATGGACTCTCCGTGGGGAAATTGATTTCCATTTGCTCTGCAAGCTAGTTTGTCTTCTGGCTTTGCACATCTAATGAAGAATCAAGAAGACAGCTCATTTCTAATCCCAGGGAGGGAATGAGAAGTCACTCTCCTGCAGTTTGTAACTACTTGAAGTCCACTGAACAGTGACTGAAACTCAGTGTAGATAAACCTCTAATGCCTGTAATTGACACCTCCATTCACCTTTTTTCAGTGGCTTGTAAGTGGCCACATGTTGTTTGTCTCAAGAGTATTTGGGTTTCTGTCAGGTGCTTGCAATACCTATGTCTGTCTTCAGAGTCTGGTAGTTTCTGTGCCAGATAGGGTTGGTGTGGGTGGTAGAGATGCCCTTTAGCAGGCAAAGTCTCACACTTCTCCATCCTGTGCCATCTGTCAACATGTGTTAACTGTCTGACAGCCTCCTGAAATTAAACACAGAGGGAAAGACATAGATAAAGACTGACAAATGTGATTTTTGGCAGTGAACAAATTCAATGACATCAAAGTGTGTGCCCATTAGCTAGTAATACCTGAGAGTTTCACAGAAAGGTAGAGTGCCTGATTGTGTGGTCTTGTCTCTGGAAATGTGAATTCAGAGTCAGTCAACTTGGGGGCTGCTTTTACTGCTGCTCACTTCTTGGATGGTTTATTTATATTCTGGATTGTTTTGCTTAGGACCCTTTCAAAGACGATGTGTAAGGCCATTACTCACTTGCGTTGCCTTCACTGCACAACCTGCGAGTAGGTTTTGTGCTAAGATTAATACGTGTTGGCGCATGGCTGGTATAGTTGCCAAGCTGCTCTCCGTGATACTTGAGAAGTCATGGCAGTCAGGTGAAGACCCTGGTGACTGGAAAAAGGGAAACATTGCACCCATTTTTAAAACAGGTGGGAAGGAGTACCCTGGGAACTACTGATCCATCAGCCTCACTTTTGTGCTTTGGAATATCATGGAACGGATCCTCCTAGAAGCTGTGTTAAGGTACATGGAGGACAGGGAGGTGATTAAAGACGGCCAGCATAACTTCCACCAAGGGCAAGTCTTGCCTGACCAACCTGGTGGCCTTCTGTGATGGAGTGACTGTTATCAGTGGATGAGGGAAGAGCTACAGATGCTGTCGATCTGGACTTCCTTAAGGCCTTTGACATGGTCCCCCAGATCATCCTTATCTCTAAATTGGAGAGAGATGATCCAGCTGACTCCCCAGCCACGCACACATCAGTGCCAGCAAGAATGAGTAAGTGGGAGCATCCCATTCTGCAACAGCACAACTCCAGACCAGCTGAAGCTGGTCACCAAAATTTCACCCTCAGCCAAGCTGGAAAATGACATCATTGTTCTCCTCCAAACATGTGTTTTGCTAACAAAACAACAAAAGCAACAAACTGCTTACAGTGACATTACAACAGTACTGTTGCTGATCACACTGAGTAGCACTGTTTGATTTCCCCCCTGCCCCTTCCCAACCCAGTTCTCAGTCTTGCCTTTTATTCAGATTGTAAACATCTCTCTTTCCTGTGGTCATAAAACCCTTGGCATAAGGTTCTTCCATTCTATGTCAATGCAGATTTACTAACGTGCCAAGCCCGAAAGAAACATGGACTCTTTAAAGACTAAGCTATCAAACTGTTATGTCTTCTTTCCAGTGGAGAGCAGAACATAGAATCATAAAATAGTTTGGGTTGAAAGGGGGCCTTTAAAGTAATCTAGTGCAAACCTGATGCAGTGAGCAGGGCCATTGTCAGGTAGATGAGGTTGCTCGGGGCTCCTTCAAACCTGACCTTGAATGTTTCCAGGGATGGGGCATCTGCCACCTCTCTGGGCAAGCTGTTCCAGTGTTTCAGCACCCCCATGGTAAAAAATGTCTTCCTTGTATCTATCCTGAATCTACCCTCTTCTAGCTGAAAACCGTTATCCCTTGTCCCATCGCTACAGGCCCTATTAAAAAGTCTGTCCCCATCTTTCTTACGAGCCTCCTCGAAGGCCTGAAAGGCAGCAATAAGGTCTCCCTGGAGGCTTCTCTTCTCCAGGCCAAGCAACCCCAAGTCTCTCAGCCTTTCTTCATAGGAGAGGTCTTCCAACCCTCAGGTTCTGTTTGTGGCCCTCCTCTGGAGGCAATATGTATCTCTTGAGTGTCTTTCAAATGTTAGTATGAATGACAAGAATGTATGACAACTGTAGTACCTAGTCATGCCTATCTGCCTTGATTCTCAAGTGACAGCACTGTTGCAAACTATATATCTGAATTACTTTAAAAAAAAAAAAAACAAACAAAAAAACACCAAAAAAGGAAAATTAATTTCTCTGTCCTGCCATACAGTCTGTTTCCTTGTTAGAAAAAGGTTGTCCTGCAGAGAATGTGATAGCTGAGTCTGCTCTGTTTCTCACAGATGAAGTGTGGTCCATGGACCTCTGGCAGATGGCCAAAGCAATCCTGGCTTGGAAAATCCAGGATATCAAGGTATTTGCCGCACTAATGGCTGACATGCATACATTTTACTAGAAGAAAGAACCAAATGATGTGCAAAGCTTAAAATCTAGCAACAATTATGCACAGTTCACTTTTTGGAGATTGGTGGAGGTTTACTGCATCCAGGAAATTTTTTAGCATTTGGTTTTTAGTTTTTATAATGAGTAGCTGGAAGAGAAGTTCTTATTCCTACTTGAGATAAAGAAAAAAAATAATTTTATAATTCAGCTATCATGACTTTGTCAAGATTCTTAGAGTCCAGGCTGCTTTGGAGTTATTTGCAGAGTATTTACTTCAAGAGCAGCAAAGGTACTAGTTTGCTAGTAGGCCAATTTCTGTTTTTCCTTCAGATTTTTATATCATTGTATGCCGCAGTTTTGACTGCACGTGTTTAAAAGCAGTAAGATATTTTGTACTTAATTTACTGTAGTGTCTTTAAAACTCTTAAAATGGTATTCGGATTTTCTGCATTCTTAGCTGGGTGCCTATCTTATTTCTTAACATTTCTCCCTTTTTGGCCTTATAAGTATCTAATAACTGTTTGGCTTCTCCTGGCTTCTGTTTGCTGGATTTAGAGGGGAAATTTCTTGGCAATCAGTGGTGCAGCTTGCAAGTGTGAGCTTCTGGCTTCCTGTCCTGCCCCAGGTGATGCAAGAGTCCTAGCATACACAGAAAGTGCTTGCTTATTTTATTCTAGGGTGGTGCTGGTTCTTTTCAAACTACACAGAGTGTCCCAAGTTCCTTGCCAAGCAAGGCAAGCACTTGTGTTGCCAGCTTTAGGACCTGCAGGTGACACTAGCAAGCCTTGATCTTAGGTACTTACCTGTTGATTTTGTGGGGTTTTTTTCAGTAGTTGAAGGAGAGGGAAAGGGAGAGAATCAGGCCTTTTTGCTGGGAGGAAATACTGAGGAGGAAAAGAGGGCGGTGCACCCATAGGGGAAGGACAAGGGAGGATGAGAGGAGAGGGAATTACTGGTTCTGATCCTACAGTGTAGGTGTTAATTTTCAGGGATCTGGTTAGGGCAGATAGGCTGCTGTGTGTATCATGTTTTTTCCAGCTGTCTTGAGCAGTAAGCTACATTGTGAGGCTTGGGAGAAGTAAGGAGTACCTCTCTCCTACTCAGGTGCACTTCAGCAATTGCTTGACCCCACACATGCATGCAAAATAAAGAACTAAACATGAAGATTCAGTCCCTGTAAGAACAGTCATATGTTTGTGAAGACTGCTGCCTACACAGGAAGATCTGTTGCAGGTTGAAGGTGATGCATAATTCTAGACACAACACATAATGATGAATGGATTTCAGCTTTCTCTGCAGGATGGGTTTAACATACTGTCCTGGGTTAAGCTGAGACAGAGTTAACTTTCTTCATAGTAGCTAGCGAGAGGCTGTGTTTTGGATTTGTGCTCAGAAGAAAGCTGATAAAAAGTGATGTTTACGCGGCTGCCAAGGTCTTTCTCTGGCTGTCTGCAGACAGGAGAAGCTGGGAGGGAGCACAGCCCCAGTTACTAGCCCAGGATTTGATCTTAGGTTCGGGATTGAGACCCAAAGTGGCCAATAATCTATTCCATAACATACACGTCATGCCCAGTATATAGGTGAAGACCCTCCGGAAGTTTGTCCCTTTTTGTTCTGGATCTCTTTTGCTCCAGGTCATCTCGCTCCACGTGGTCGCTCTCCCAAGGCCTTCTCTTCTCCACCCCTGTCAGTTCTCAATCTGGGACACTCAGACTGTTATCTCTGTTCTGTGATTGCAGTTTCGGGACTCTGCCTGCTCCGGGATTGTTAACCGCGAACAGGCTGAGCCTTGGTCATCGGGTGGGGGGACAGTATCACTGTGTATCACTCATTTGTATATTTGTATATAGTATTATTTTCCATATTATTGTAGTTGAGTTATTAAATTGTTCTTATGTCAACCCACGAGTCCTTTTTTCCCTTTTTCCCTTTACCTCCTTAATTCTCTCCCCCGTCCTTGGGGGGGGGGCATGGGGGGAGGTGAACAAATGGGTTGCGTGGGGTTGGCTCCAAGCCAAGGGTAAACCCGTCACACATACTATACTTTGTCAGGTTTTGATTTGACATTAATATTCTGCTAGATTAGTACACCAGGGGTAATAGATACGCTGCTAGATTTTCTTGGGGTTTTTTACGCTTGTTAAAGAACAGATCTACAGTCTGTGAGAGTTCACCAAAACCAACTTGTATGCTGAGAACTCCTAGATTTCTTTTCTGTCCTTCTAGAAATGTCTGACAAAGGATTTCAGAACAATTTCCTTGAGGTGTGTATTTTTCAAAATTGGATTGAGTTTTATTTTTTGTCATCGTTGTCTTGTCCATCTTTGAGACAGCATTCGAAGGAACAGACTTAAGGGGTGGGGGGGGAGAGGAGGGGTGGTGGAATTTAATTATAAACTTTGGATGCAATTCTACATCACTTTCCTTAGTGCCAAGTCAGCTTCAGATCCTCCATTTCTTTGCTTCTCACTCATGTTCTATCACAGGGCTTTGTCCCCTCCATTATACTTATTTGGCTGTTAGTGCAGCTGCTCTCTGAACAACATCTGTGAAATGATCCAGCACAAGAGCCTCCCAAACGAATGTGCACTCTGGCAGCCGATATAAACCTTTGTTCTGGTTCAGATAGTAACCCTATGGTCGTATAAGTTTTGAACTGACATAGCTCTGGGTATAATGATGTCCGTTTGAAGAGTTGTAAAGCCTTATATCTTATATCTGAGTTTTCTGCCAAGGGGACAGTGACATAGAACTCCAGCTTCTAATCTTTTTGCAGGATGAGGTATGTAGCTAGACATCTTTTTTCAGATGTTTGCACTGGCAGTACCATATTTAGTTACTATCTTCTGTGTGTCACTAGAAAATAAACTCTAATTATATAAATTTATAAAGTGTCAGTCTGCCAAAGCCAGAAACGTCATGGTAAGTATCTTATCTGGCAGGCAGGAGACTTGTGCTAAGTCCTCTGGGGCTTATGGCTGTTTTGAGGTGGGTCTCTTTCTCACTGTTGTTCAGGGAAACTGGAAAACAATATTGTTTTTTCACTGTGTTGAACAGAGAAAAAGAACTTTAGATTGAAAGGTTTTGTTAAATGGATAACCTCCCATGACAAATTACTTTCCTCTCTCTTCTATTGCTGTGAAAACCAAATGGGATGTTTGAAAGGACTTGGGGGTGTTGGTTGATGAGAAGCTGAACATGAGCCGCTAATGTGCACTTGCAGCCCAGAAAGCCAGTCTTGTCCTGGGCTGCATCAAAAGAAGCATTAGCAGCAGGTCAAAGGAGGTGATTCTCCCCCTCTACTCAGCTCTCATGAGACTCCACCTGGAGTACTGCGTTCAGATGTGGGGCCCCCAACATAAGAAAGACCTGGACCTGTTGGAGTGATTTCAGAGGAGAGCCACAAAGATGATCAGAGGGCTGGAGCACCTCCCCTATGAGGACAGGCTGAGAGAGTTGGGGTTGTTCAGCCTGGAGAAAAGAAGGCTTCGGGGAGACCTAATAGCAGCCTTCCAGTACCTGAAGGGGGGCTACAGGAGAGATGGGGAAACACTCCTCATCTGGGAGTGTAGTGCGAGGACAAGGGGTAATGGTTGTAAGATGAAAGAGGGCAGATTTAGATTAGATATTAGGAAGGAATTTTTCACTGTGAGGGTGGTGAGACACTGGAACAGGTTGCTCAGGGAAGCTGTGGATGCCCCATCCCTGGAGGTGTTCAAGGCCAGGCTGGATGAGGCTTTGAGCAACCTGGTCTAGTGGGAGGTGTCCCTGCCCATGGCAGGGGGGTTGGAACTCGATGATCTCTAAGGTCCTTTCCAACCCAAACCATTCTATATATAAATAAAACCCACTGTTAATTAAGTTAATTTCCTTGTTTTAAGAGGGAATTGATGCATTTTTCAGCCATACTAGCTGCATTTGTGGATTCCAACTTGAAAAGAATGTCAGTTCAAAATAGGGAGGATGTTTGACCATCTTGTTTTAGCTGTTTGATGATGACTTATATCTCCTGTTTTTTTTCCTCAGTTATTTGTGGTAGATGTCCAGACTGCTCAAATTACCAAGATTCCTATTCTGAAAGATCGTGAACCCAGCATAGTGAACCAGCAGGGATGTGGTATTCATGCCATTGAGCTCAACCCTTCGAGGACCCTTCTGGCCACAGGTGGAGACAACCCCAATAGTCTTGCAATTTATCGTCTGCCTACGCTTGATCCTGTCTGTGTGGGAGATGTAAGTGGGAGTATTCGGGCAAGGTTTATTCTGTCACTTAAAAGAATTACTACTTTGAATTGCGTAAGGTTAGAGCAAGGTTAAGATTTGGGAGTCCTGTAGTAGAGAGTTGATTACTGAAAGCTTGAAAATATTCCTGATCAAGTTGTCTTTTTTGACAAGAAAAGACAAGACTCTTAAATATGAGTGAGTACACAAACAACGTGAGACAATTTGCAGCGTTCCGAGTCAGACTTTTTTCTTCCTCACCCTCATTCAGGTCTACTTAGATTAGTTTTAGGCACTGAAGATGTAAGAAAATCGTAAAATCTAATTGTTGTGATGACTTCTGAAACTAGTGTTAGTGAAAATCTCTTTTGATAAACTGAAAACATGATAGAAGTTGTTCAAATTTTCTGCTTCTCCAGTGCAGCTTATATATGTATTATTCCAGAGGCGTAGCCTGGCTTTGAGTATTAGCTCTAACCCAGTGGCTTATGGCAGTCTGATAGACTGTGGTACTACTTGTATTTCAGAAACATCATGAGGTCTTGCTAAAATAGCCAGTCTTACAAACAAAAAAGTCTGAAAAGTGTCTAGTGGTGTCCTGTAAGCAATTCTCTCTCATTTCTCCTTTTTATTCAGGACTTGACATAGATGTTAACTACAACAGCAGAGGTCAAGTCGGAGTTTCTGCAGTAGCAGATAACCTGCTGCTGAACTCTGAAGATTTGTATGACTTGCTATTATGTTGTCTGCTGCTGTGACTTTCCAGCTTTTCAAACAGAACTGGAGCCTTATGGTCTTTTTTTTTTCCTACAGGTTTTTCACCTGCTAAATAAAAGATTCTTGAAGGAATAGTCTTGAAAAATTAATCTGTAGGTCATATATTGTAAACGTAAGATTTTGGTTACTTTTTGTAGTAGTGATGTGCATTTGAGGAAATAAATGTAGCTATTTTGCAGAAGTAACAAATGATGCTTTCAAAGTGGGAAATCTAAGTCATTAGAATTGAGATCAATTTGTCTTTTGTCAGAGGCCTGTTTTTCCATCACCTTATTGCTCTCTATTAATTACACACTTCAAAAAAAAAAAAAAACCAAAAACCCTAAATTACTGTTAGGTACTTAAACTGCTCCAGCTTGATACTGGTATCTTATCTGTATGTTTTTAATGTAGGTCTGTCCTGAGTTTGAACTAAAAATCAATGTGGAAAATACTTGTCTTCTTTGAGACTACTCTGGAGTATAATGGCACAGAAAAATATGTCTTTTTTTTTGTTTGTTTTAGGATGGACATAAGGACTGGATATTTTCAATTGCATGGATCAGTGATACTATGGCTGTTTCTGGTAAAGTCAAATTTTTTTCTCTCTTCCACTC